GCTCTGCCATCAGTGTGATTTAGATCGTAGTGTGTTTTTCCCAGCCGTGTTAGTAGAATTCAAATTGTGAGCTTTGGTTTTGTCTCTAGAACTTTTAACTCGAAAAAGTTAGAGACTTCGGCTCTGTTTAGATCTCGAGAAGTGTTGATGTTGAGCATGTTGCCGATTTCTCTCGAATACGGTGGCACATAACAGATCTGGACTCGGTGCTTGTTCTAGTTGAAAGACAATGCATGGTTCATGGTTTATATATGCTATGTTTGTTAGTGCGAGTTGAGTTTGATATTTTTCTTATCCTTCTTCATGTTTTCTTGCTTCGGCCTTACTCTTGAGGTCTGGATTGTTCTTGTGTTTTGGCTTTTGATGTCTCCTGCTGCCTCAAAGTTTCTAAGATGCTTCCTCTGTCCTAATTTGATATTTCCTCTTTGCATCGGGTTGTTGTGCTGCTAGATTCTCGCATTGTGCATTTCTTTCTTCTCACCGTCGGTATTGCATTAGCGGTTCAAGAATCTTTGCTGCTCTGGTTTGGTTGCTAATTGGTCTATGTTTAAGGCTTTGAGCGGGGATCTCTGTTTGGAATCTTAGACAACCAATGGGCCATTGATTACCGATTTTAATATCAGTTCACTTAATCAGAGTTATTTGGTAAAGTAATGAACGGGTCTTGAAAACCTTTGTCTCACCCTAGTTATTGTTTGGATGGGGCACGAGAATCAGATCCGGATTAGATCTGCTTTTATTTTTTCAAGATGAATAATGCTCTGGGACTTGTCTGCATATTATCTCTTCTTGGATCAGTCATCTTTCAGTTATCATTCTATTCATTAGGATTGTTAGTTACTTAATTCTAGATTGGTTTTTAGGCTTTCGGTTGTAGTGTTTCTCTAGTTTGGAATATGGTTCCCTTGTTGGGATTGTGGCCTCCCTATTGGGGAATGCGGCTCTTTCTATGTATTTTAATCTCAAGCTTTTAATATTACAAACATTAAAATAAAAAAAAAAACTTAAATTGGCTGAATAAACGGAATAACATAAGAAGGATAGAAAATTATTTTGATAAATAAATGGAAACAAATGACTAAATACTTAATAATTAGTAAATTACTCTCAAATTATTTAATATGCGGTTAAGTAAAAATTTTATTTAAGCATATTTTCTCCGTTTCAAAAGATTTTTTTTTTTAAAAACAGTTTTCAAAAATTTACAATCTATTATCATGAATTGATAAAAATACGTAAAAACAATTTTTTTGGGTTAAAAATCTCTCTTTTAAGAACAGGGGGTGGTGTATTTGAGAAAGGTTTAACAAAGTAGTAGAGACACATTGGATATTAAGTGGATGAGTTTGTGTTCAAAATGTTCAAGTGTTTTTTTAAGAAAAATTTGCTAAATTAACTCAGTTTGAATTAGTGTTTTGTAAATTAACCTCCTACCTATGATTTTCTGTCCCAATAACCTTTGTTATCTTCATATCCCAATTTTAACCTTCAAACTGAAGGAAAATAATTTTTTTGCAATATTTTCGGAATATATATTTGTTTTTACGAAACTGAAATAAAAAGAGATTATTCATTTATGGAAATTTTATTTTTGACATATAT